CATTCCCATCTCAATCTTGCATGTTGTTATATATCATTGAGTCAGAATAAAGTCATAGGTGACCATCAAGTGAGTTCTTAAAGGCTGCAAATTGCATGGAAGGAGACTGTCCATCTTTCTCCCAGGAAGCAGGTGGTAGTTTTTAACAACATGCCTTTACATTGACAGTGCAACTCCTGACCACAAGGCCATCAGAGCTGCTTTCATCAATATCATTTATACAAATGAGGAAACTGAGGCTGGGAAGATTAACTGTTCAAGGTAACATAACTTGTATGAAGAGGCCAAGACTTGATTCTGAAGTCCATGGTTTTTCTTCTATCACATGCCTCTCTAGTTTTGAATAGAATGTAGTTCTTATTTTTCATCAATGCCAGAGATTGTTCTGAGCTGAAACAGGAAAAGGGAGTGAGATATCCTCAAAATCATTCTTTACCCTCAACAGGCTGGTGACATATAAGAAAGTCTGAAAGTGGATTTCTTTGGGGGGTGGGCAGAGGCTCATTCAGGCTTTCCAGAACAGTTCTGGAGCTGTCTGAATTGCTAAGACATAAATATATCTATTGACTACATACCGAAAGGAGCTCTAATGGAATGGCACCTACCCTATTGTGTTGCGTGTCTCCAAGGAGTTAAAAGACTGCCTGTCTCCAGGAGTTAAAATCCATCAGTGGAACTAAGGAAGAAAGAGGCAGTCTCCACCCATTAAGATTTAGTCTTGGGACTCCAATGGAGGGCCGCTGAGAGTCTGACTCTATTCAAGGCCACTGAGTTTGTGAGTGTTAACCCAGGCAGGAGATGGTGTGGCCCCTGTGTGGGTATGGCAATGCCTCGTCGTACTGCGGGTCACTTTCTGGGAAAGGAACCAACACAAGCAGACGCTGCCCAGGACACCAAACCTGCTCCTAAGCATCTGGCCTGCTGTGCTTTAGGTAAACATGGCCTTGGCCTTTAGAAGCCTAGCGGGAGGTCTACCATGGTACAATGCTGGAGTTGCCACTATTTCCTCACCTGGTTCTTTCAAATTTTCTTTTGTATTCTCACTAATGTCTCTAGATGTCATTGTACTTGTAACAGGACTAATATCTCCTAGCTCAGAATATCTAAATAAGATAACACAAGCAAATGTCACTATGACAGCTAAAGACATTTTGTAACTCTCTTCTTCCATTGATAATTTGAGAGTAATTGGTAGAGACTTTCAAATGAGTGTACTTCATCCCTCTGTTTAACACTGTTATTAAATAGAGAGCTAATACGAATAGAAATGCAGAGAGCATGACTAGGACAAAGGTCCTAGATGAAAACCATGCCATGTGAGGAACAGGTGAAGGAGCTGAGAACATTTGGCTGGAGAAAAAGAAGTGTTAGAAGGAGTAGGAATTCTCCTGTTGGCTCTCTATCATGAAATATTTGATGACTGCAATGTAAGAAAGAGTCTTTGGATGGTATACAGGGTTAACATACTCAAATGACTACCAAAAGGTTGGAGAAACTTGGAAGTGCCTTGGAAGAAAGAACAGGTGATCTCTTTACAAAATAGCAGCCCTTAGAAACCCTATGGAGTACAGTCTACTCACACACAAGGGATGCCATGAGTTCTAATCTACTCCATGACAATCGACTATGGCATGTAGGCAAATGATTAGATTTCATCCACATAGCTCCAGAATATGGAGCTAAGAACAATGTTGGAGACTGTGCGGAGAAAGAAATCAGACTTTATTTAAGGAGAAGCTTTAAAAAACTATTAGGGATATTCAAAATAGAAAGGGCTGCCTTGTAAGGCTAATGAGCTTCCTGTGCCTTGAAGTCTTCATACCAAGGCTGGCTGTTCATCTGTCAGGGATTACGAAAGGAGATTCTTTATTGGGTGGAAGGTTGGAGAAAATGACCTCTATGATTCATTCTAATTCCATGATCCTTCTATTAAGGTTTTATATCTCTTATTAAAATTTATAATGAAAGATCTGTACACGTGTTCCGTCCTTTATATAATAGCTATTTATGGTGAATTTCTTTACAAAGGAATAATCACTCTTTTTATAAATTCTGAGCTTTATGTTGTTTATGTTGTTTGTCTCTAAGAAGTGCTGTCCTCATTTCTCGTATACATTCCTCTCATGTGGGTACTTTCGCACATCTGCCCCACTGACAACTTCCTGCCCTGTTCTGGGCTCTTCGCTGATGGTAGCTGACATTGAGTCCACCTCAACTCATGGTGATGCACTGAAATGAAATTCTGCCCAGTACTGCAACATCCACACCATTGATTGCATCTGTGACTGTTGTGACCCACTGAGTTGTCACTGGTTGATACTTCAGAAGTGGATCTCCAGAAATTTATTTCCAATCTCGCTTAGTCTGGAAGCTCTGCTGAAACTTGTTTGGCATCATTGTTGTTGGTAGGTGCCGTCGAGTCGATTACAACTCACAGTGTTCAGCATCACAGCAACACGCACACATTCACTGACAGATGGGTAGTGACTGCACGTCAAGTGCACTGGTCATGAATCAAACTCAGGTCTCCTACATAGAAGGTAAGAATTCTACCACGAAATCACCACTGCCCTGCTTTCTTTCTTAACCTTCTCCAAACTATCCACCATGATCATCTAAAATCATCATCTAAAAATTAATCAGACCATGTCCTCCTGCCCAACGTCCTCGCATAGCTTCCCATTTCTATCTGAATAATGCCAAACTCCTGCCTGTGACTAATGAGTAGGCTCTGGATGACTTCCTTCCTGCTGGATATCTCCAGGGTCATGTCACAGCTCTTTCCCCACTACCACTAGCCACACTGGGCTCTTCTGCTCCTGTCCTCTTCTGCATCAACACCTGCTGATCTCTGGAGGAATGCACTCTTCGGAGCTTCCTGCTGGGCTGTCTCATTTCCATTCTTAAGATTTCAGTTCAAGTATCTCCTAGAAGGGTTGTCCCTAACTACACTGTCCTGTCAGCACCTATTCGGTTATGCTGGATCACATTGTCCTGGCTTACTTTCTTCACGTAGCTCACCACAATTTATAATCACGCTACTTCTTGTTTTTTCAGTTGACATATTCTTTCCCCCATTTGGGTGTAGATATCATGAAGACAAGTGCCTATTTGTGTTCACTACTGCATCTGTCCCCCATGCCTAGCTTAAGATCTAGTACATGACTGGTGGTAGATAAAATATGTTTTGTAATGGAAAAATGAGTGAGCTAGTGAATACTTGCATGAACGAATCTGTTCAAATCTAGGGTCTGCTTTGGGGTTGGGTATGACCTTGTTCTTCCTTAGATTGTAAGCAAGAATATGTTTATGTGATGCCCCATCATCTTAGCTAGGAGACTTCTGGGCACACACCACGCCCTAAAAAGAATTTTAGATTGACAATTTATAGCAGTATATTAGAAGACAAAACATCTTTTTAATTTAGGAAAGGCTTTACCCATGCCTCTGAATGTCTATATCATAATTCTGATTAGTACAGGACCCTAACTCTAGGATAGCATGCCTTTTTGCCCTGAGGGTTCTCAGGGAGGAAAAAATCTGGCAGTGAAGAACAGGAGATGTTGGAATGGGTGACTGAGGAGGTGGTAGAATCTCCTTTTCTGGAGATCTTTAAAAATAGAAGAGCCATCTGGGATGATTTAGATATGGTCTTCAATGGAGAAGGGGGATGGAAGGAAAATGAAGGTCCTCTCTAAGTTCCATCTCACCCTTGGTTTTCTGATCTTTCCCTTTAAACTTTTATTCACAGCAAGAACCTGAAAAGAGCTAGGAATTCACTTTTTCTTTTTAACTGAAAGTTAAATCCCACTTTATTTTGACGTGTAATTCTGCTGCAATACTATCCTTCTCTCCTCAAATGGGCAATTTGGGTGTCATAACTTTTTTGTTATGTCGAAAGTTTGGAGGAAACGTAACTTCCACGATCGTTTTTTGAGGGAAAAAAAAGTAAAGGAACTGAAAATGGAAGTGAGTTAAGGTTTTGGGAGATGACAGCCTGCAGACTATGAATCTATGATTCATGCTTATGCCCCCGAGAGGGGCAGAGGAGGAAGAAGCTGGACGTGGAGAGACGGCCAGGCTCTCTTTCCACAATAGAGAGAGCTTGCAGTAGAAGACAGAGTTAAGTCCTAGACGTCTGGTGTCTAACTGGTAATTTTTTTCTTGTGGTTGTTGCTTTTGGTTTTCTAAGAAGATAAAGCCTGGAAAAATGGAAATAAATATAAACAACATGAGACATATTTTTTTCTCATATTTGCTTATCAAATTACAGCAATTGAGCTGTTTTCTAGCTTTGGTCTCAGGACCCTTGCTTGATTTGTTAAGGCTGCAGAATAAAAAGAAAAATAGATTTTAATACATATAAGGTTGCATTTTTACTATTTGAATCATAGAGGACATGATATCAAGCCTTGTTAAATTTGTTTCTTTTTGTTTTCATTTGAGTTTATTTAAGCATTTGAGTGAAATTGGGTCTTTTTGGAGAATAAAGGACCTAAAAAGACTGTTGAAATAAAAAACAGGCAGTTTTCAGATCATCCACCACACAGGTGTATATGTGTTACCTTCTCTTATCCTGTACTTCCAAGCACCCAGCATTTTTAACATAGCCTAAAAGCTAGAGGAGCAAGAGTACATTTGTGGTGGAATGTAACCACTTGCTGATATCATTCCATTATCACCTTTGTAACAGCTTAAGAGTGAGCCTTTCATAGGCATATATTGTTTAAATCTCTCATTTCCTGCTGTATTTAACAGATTACATAAAGCAGACAAACCCACATTTAGATAGATAAGCATTAAACATGTGCTGTGTTGAAGTATCTTTAGTTCTAATTCTAGCAATACAGAGTTACAGAGCATAATTTTAATACTTAAGTTGCGTTTATTAGATATGGTATTTTTAATGAACTTGAGAAAAATGGTAGTTTGTGTTTAAATTTACTACTGACAACTTATCTGAACAGTTCTGGCTAAGCATCCTTACTTAAAAAGAAAAGTAAAAATCAAAACTGTTTATTGTTACTTTTTTGCCATTTGGTAGCATTTTACACACAGGCTTTGATCTTCAGAATACCCTGGATTCAGTAGAAAAACCTTTTAAATGAAGTTTTGTACAATAGAAACTCCTTAGCAGTCAAAATTTAGACTGTAAAAAAATACATGCAAAACATACTTTTCTGAAAACACTTAACTTTGAACAAAGCACCAAACTACACAAATGCAGAATGAAAACAGCATTTCAACTCCACCAAAAGTAGTCATCATAAAAGGTGTAAAAGTCACCTAACTTCACTAGGCACTGTTCACTTTTTAAACAGGAGACAATAAAAAAATATTGTCCACAATCAACATCCCAAACTCTAGGAAATGTCTCGGTCTTCAACTTCATGCTTTAATAGCGGCGTGGAGAGTATGATCGAGATCTGGAACGGGATCTGTATCCTCCACGACTGTAGTAGGGAGAAGGTGATCGTCTTCTGTAAATCTGATCCCTGTCTTGAGCAGCTCTCCATCCTCCTCCTCCTCCACCTCCTCCTCTGTATGATCTGCTGTAGTAGTCCCGGTCATCATAGCCCCTATCATATCCTCTGTCATAGTAATCTCTGCGACGTGAGCTGCCATAAGTAGGTCTCCCCATATAAATTCCAGGTGTTGGGGTATGTGGTCGTTTTGTTATGGAGAAATCAACTCTAATCCTACGGCCATCAAGCTCCATTCCATTGGCACGTTCTTTAGCTTCCTTGGCATCATCTACATTTTCAAAATATACAAAGGCAAATCCTCTTGAACGTCTTGACTGCTGGTCATATACGATAGACACATCGGCAATGGGCCCATATTTAGAGAATACTTCTCTTAGATCTCTCTCTGTGGTATATAAGCTCAACCCAAATACTCCAAGACAACAGTTGGGATCAGGATTTGCCCGATTTCCAACATGACGCCGGCAAGTAGACATGGGAGACTGACTGTGGCTATGACGTCTGCGATAATCTCGACTGTAAGACCTGCTTCGGGATCGCCTATGGGAGCGAGAGCGGGACCGGGACCTTGTGTAATGTCTTCGAAAACTTCTGGATCTAGACCTAGATTCAGGTCTGGACCTGGACTTTGATCTGGAACGCCTGGAATCTTCCTTGGAGCGAGACCTTGCAGGGGTATGCCGTGCAGATTTCCCAGATCCATGAGCACTTCCACTTCTGGAAGCAGAACGGGATTCCTGCTCGCCGTAGTTCTGCTCGCCGCTGTCGCTCATGACTCCTAGCTGCAGTCGCCGCTCGATGAGCTTCAAACGAAACTGTCAACCTCTCGGGCCTTCCCTCTCAAGGCTCGGTAGCAGCCTCGGGGAGCGTACTGCTACCAGAACTGCTTGGAGACGAAGCACTCTACGCCCCCTCTGCACAGACTAACTAAATTTGTTTCTTAACAGTATTTGCATGCCATAACTGTTTTGGTTATAGTATTCTTTGGGGTTTTACTTTTTTTTTATTTTGCCTTATGTCACTTTTTTGAAATTGAAATGCGTATTATTGTTCATATACATTGTGTTTTTACATTCATGTACATTGTGGGTTATTTTGTATGTGTGTTTCACACTTTCCTTCTTTGGCATTATGTTTCATACAATCATTTCCGAACATAATTGTTTCTTAAACCTAACTAAACTTGGCTGTGATTATCAAATATATTTATTTGTAAACACTCATTATAAATGAATCAAGATGGACTGACCCAGTGACTGGGGTAATGCAGGTATATGGCTCAGAGATAATAAGGTTGGTTCAGGATAGAGCAGGGTTCAGAGCTATTGTACATAGTGTTGCTGTGAGTCGCAAGCCAGTGGACATCACATAACAATATCACCACCACAAGTGAATGGCTGACATGATCTGCTTCCCCCTCCAAAGGAACAGAAACAGTTTTCAGTCATGGCATTAATGGTTTTTGCCCTGTATAAATAAATGACTAATCCATATTTTTATGTAATTTGTGTTAAGTCAGAAGGAAGTGGTGGCCATAAAGTCTTCAGGAACCACACTTGAAAGCTGACCTCATTGCTGTATGGTATCAACCCCGTTTCAATACTCCTTCATTTGCTCCCTGGGCCTGGGTGCTGGTTGAACATCCATGTAGGCAACAGCTCTGTGGATCTGCATGCTTTGGTTTGCGTGCACATACGCTACACATAGAACCTCAATGCCCAAAAGTTACAGACACTTTGCTGTGGTATAAACAAGAACTCTTAAAAGGGGGGAGGGGCAAGGGGAGAGATATTCTCAAGTTGTCTTAACACATGAAGAGGTCTTCAGAACACAAACATCCACATATCATTGTGTTTTGGGACATTCTGTTATGCAACTATTTGCTAAAGTGGTCATCACCCATTTTTCATTAATAGATGGAGGTTACATATTTGTCCAAGGCAGAAACATTTGAACCTCAGACACAACAGAATCAAATCACTTTCGACTGAATAATTTTTTTCTTCCATGAGGCCACAGGCCCTGAACTGGAGTCTGTTGGAGGAGTGTATGTAGTACCAGGCCCAAGTGCCATGTGGGGGTTATCGAACTGTGTGGCAAGGAAGATTTAATACCCAGGTTCAAGACTGACTGGTTTGTGCTCAGACTTGAGAGAGGTATTTGGCTAGTAGCACAACTTATTAGGACTTATGTCAATAGATTTTCCAGTTAAATTCTAAGCATCCTAGTATTTATCTGATGAGTATGTACACCCTAATTCTCAGTTGCTTTTATATTCTGGTTACTATCTCTGGAATTTACTACTATATCTCACAGACAACCCAAATCTTCACTTGTAGGCTCTTGTGTACCGTCGAGTCACAACTGACTTGAAGAAAGTGAGGTCACAGAATACAACTTTCTATCTTCCTTCTAATACTATTCTCATAGTTCATGAAGAGTTGTGCTGCTAATCCCAAGGAGGCATGTCTTCTCTGCTTGTTCGAATCCACCAGCTGCTCCTTAGAGAGAAAGACAGCCAGTCTCTTCCTGTGCCCTTTACAACCTAAGAAATCCCCTGGAGGGTCACTTATGAGTGGTTTTGACTTGATGGCAATGAGCTGAGTTTTCATTTGTGCCCACTCATACCAACCTGAGCAGGTAGAAAACACCTGGAAATTCTGTCCTCGCACTGCCTTGCCCTCTTTTTTCTTATTAGCCCATGCCAGAAGTCCTGATCAAACGCAAGCAGGCCAAGGTCACATTCTCCAGGAGCTGGACTACCTATCACACATCCACTGCCTGGGCTCTAGACCCCTGACTAACTAGTACTTAAGCCCCACAAGTTCCCTTTTGCTGTCTGTGGTCAAGTCTCTCCCTCTCCTTTGCTTGCTGGCACATTTGAAATCTGGCCACTTGGGTTTATTTACAAACTATCGTTTTCCATCTCTCTCACTCTCCTACACTCACTATTGCTCCTTTGGGGTTTTTCTCACAGTCTTCCCTCACAAATTCAACACCACTCCCTCAGTGCAAAACAAGGCTTGGGAGCTTGCTGTGGCTTGCACGGAAAAAAAAAGGGATGAGAAAAGAAAAAAAAGGAGGCCTTGCTGTCTCCTCCAATCGCTTCCTCCGGCACTGCAAATGTTAACACGATCTGTGGGGAGATTGCAATTCTAACATAATGAGATATTAATGAGCTTTGCACATGTCCCAAGCCACAACACTTCTCTCCCCTCCCCCTTTTATCCCTCCTGCACAGATCTAGAGAGAATCTGCTCCTTCTCTGTCAGGCCAGCTCGTCCACTTGCCCTCGCCCCTGGCCCACTTGGGCACCCCAGCTGCCCTGCTCACCTGGAGCTGCCAGCACCACAGAGTACCCAATGGGCTGGCACTGCCTCGTTTCCTGGCCTAATGGATGCTTGTTTAAACACTGGAGCTGTTTGCATTGCTGCGGCTCACTGCATGTTAAACACAGTCCTCTGAAACCCTATGCCAATCCAATAAAGGTATCAGCAGTTCAGTGTGGGGAGGCAATTACTATATGGTCCCAAGTGTGCCTTCTAAGCTCTAGGAAGGAAAATTTGATCGAACAACTAAAAGGAAAATCTGATTCAGCTCAGCATCACGTGGAGGACACAAGGCTTAACTGCAGCCAGGTCTGTGGAGGGCAGAGGGAAATCAATGGAAGAGCTGGGGAGAGCAACTGCACATTGTTAAGAGGGCTTTAAGCCAGCCTGTTAGTAATACTGTCTCCCGCGTTTGCCGAGTGACAGCACTTGTCCCCTGCTTCGGTTCCCTTTTTCTTTTCCTTTTTTTCTTTCATTCCAAGGGGTATACTTATTTATTTTTTAATGACAAACTGCCATCTTTCTTAGCACCCTCCACCTTCTCACTCACCTTTGATTCTTTAAGCGCTCGTATAAGAAAAAATGGCTTTTCTTGTGCAAGATCATTACCATATCAAAGGCAATAGACACAGAGAGAGCGCACACAAAAAATGATAGGAGGATAATATACGAGCAGAGTGGTGAAGGAGGCCTGCTTCAGAGAGAACCGTGAGTTCCTAACCTCGAGCTAACGATACCAGTCGATAACACAATGGATTGGTTTTCTGTCTTCTCTAAGTCTGAAAAATCAGGGGAATTAGACATGAAATTTAAATTTATTTCTCACTCAAGAAGCAAAAGTTTTAGGAAAGTGAGTCCTGTTCTCTGTTTTTCAGTTCTGGACAGTTAATGTCCAGAGAGATATAAGGGTGGGGGCGTAGGTGTTAAGAGAGAAAAGTTTTCTTCTTTTTTTCTCTATTTTTCAGCTGAAAATCTGCTCTGAGATGGCCCTTCTTTCCTGAGGAGGCGTGAGAAAGCAGCAATGTATATGTATCTGGAAAGCTGAGAAATGCTACACACAATGCTCACTAGGGCGTCATCCATCTAGAGGGAATTTCGCCAAATCCTTGTCAATTCCCAGAGCTTCCCAGCACCTGAACACAACCATGACGGAGTCAGGGCTGCCATCAGCATTGCCAGCAGGAGCTCCCAGCTAATGAGTGCAAAGATAAAGCAGATCTTTCAAAGGATCTGGGGCACTCTGGTAGTGCAGCAGCTAAAGGAGTCTGTTGCCAACCAAAAGGATGATGTCACCAGCCACTGCAGAAGAAAGATGTGGCAATCTGGTTCCATATTTACAGCCTTACAAATCCCACGGCCAGCTCTACTCTGTGCTAGAAGAATGCCTATGAGGAGGAACAGACTTCATTCTAATTGGTTTCTGTATTTGTCTTTCCCTCAAAAGGTTTGGGGTCAGAGTGCTAGGGGCTCAAATCTCACCTGATCTTCTGTAACCCAGAGAGGTAGAATGAGTTCTGCGTATGACAGTTCCAGAGGATCATCAACGTCCTTACACGTATGGTTTATAAAGCCTGGTCTTTTCATTCACTTGCTATGTGTCTGAGGGCTAGACAATGACTAAGGATGAGAGCAGAAGAATTGATGCCTTTGAACTGTGGTGTTGGGGAAGCGTGCTAAATACCCCATGGGCTGCCAAGAGAACAAACGGATATGTTTCGGAGAAGGTGCAGCCAGAGTGCTCCTTGGAGGCAAAGATGATAAAGCTTTGTCACTCATAGGTAGGGCATCTTGCTAGGAGAGGCTATTTCTTGAAGAGGGATATCATCATTGGGAAGGTGGAGGATGATGAAATAGAAGAAGATTCTCAATCAGGTGGATTGACAGAGACTGTAGCAATGGCTTGAGTGTGTCAGAGATTGTGAGGATGGCACAGAATAGGACAGGTTTCAGATCTGTTGTTCTTAGGGTCACTTTGAGTCATACTCAGCAGCACCTAACAACACCACACCAGGGCACATCAAGTTTCTAGAGCAATGAAGGGCCTGGCCTTGTACTCTAGACTTGTCTTTTGTTATTCATGACACCAGCTCCCCAGTCCCAGGAGGTAACAGTAACTGGGCCGGGCAAAGAGTATAGCTTAACATTCTGGAAATCACTGTGCACCTCCACCTCCCTCTGTTGCTAATGGGGAAAGTCCCAGGAACACGCAGCGGACAGCAATCTTCAGTGCCCATAGCTACTGACGTCAGGAAGGGCTATTGATGATTTCACATAAGCCACAAATAGCACATTAGGCTCTAGTGTTATCTTTGGTTTCGTGATTTAGCATTCAAGGAAAAGCCTCATTATCTCCAGTCTGGACATGTGGGTGAGTGCACTGTGGCAAAACTCTTTCTGCCTTGCTTTTGTTACACACTTGAGAGCTATGTAATACAGATTTGTATACATCCCCAAAGCTACTCCTATCAAGTGGCAAAACAGTTGTAGTTTCTTCTAAGAGTAAATCTTTGTGATGTTTTCTAAAAAT